AGAATATTAGTTTTCTCCACCGTGAGAGTTCATGTTATGGAGCAACAATTTGTCAAACTTGAAGGCTTTCATTTCCTTTTAACTTTAACTTCTGCTTTATTAAGTAATGACTTTTAGAATATAGGGTACTTTATTTTAATTACAGTTTTTATGAAATCCTTATTGCTGATAGTGTGTTTATAATCATTGAATAGAGGTATTTTTGTGTATCTTAATTTTATTTTGAGTAAAAATAAAAAACATCTGAAGCTCCTGCTTCACCACTTCTTTTCCAACTGATCAGTTATATCTGGCTTTCAGCTGAGGTATTTTTGCTGGTCTTGTTTCTTACCCTGGGACACAGTGAGCCGCAGTCAGCACCCACTGGTTGTTGATCAGAGATCCTCCACAGAAGTGGCTGGAGGAGCGGTGCAGACTGACCTGCCAGGGCCAGCTGCCTGCAGGAGCTGCCTGTCCTCCAACAATCCTGGTGTTGAGTGAAGGTTGACCACAAACTGAGAAAAGATGAGATTAAATCCTGAATGGTAAATCTTTTCTGAGCTTTGTCAGATAAATACAAAACAGGATAATCCAGAGAGCGAGATCTGAGGTCCAAATGTAGAAATTGATTCAAAATATTCAGCAATGCAACACTGATTGTGTGTTACTATCAAATAGTCTTCTTTGTTTGCAGTACCTTCAGATATGTTTATTAATGGGGTGAAGGTGGGAGTTGTCAGAGTCGTTGTTGTGGTTGGTGGATGAATTGTAGGGTTGGAGGTTGTACTGGAAACGCTGAGACGACCGTCCATCCCATTGGACGTGAAGGTGATGAAGCCTGGCTGGTTGGTGTTGATAAGGCTGTTGATCCAGCTCTCATACTGGGACACTCTGGTGTAGACTCCTGGTAAATTTGGCTGAGCACATCCTTCTCCAAAACTTACAATTCCTGATTGAATCCAGCGGTCCCCCTGCTTGCTCACCATCGGGCCGCCTGAATCCCCCTGGAAGATCAGAACATTTTCCCAGATGAGAAGAGAACTACTATCTGCAGACAATAACAACCTGATGTGAACAGATGATCACCTGACAGGAGTCCTTCCCTCCCTCTAGTAACCCGGCACATATCATGTTGTCAGTAATGGCGCTGTCCCCATAGCTAGACTTGCACTGCGTGTTCCCCACAACTGGCACCTCCACCTCCATCAGGTTTTGAGGAGACGGAAGAGGAACTGAGGACATAATGAATACATCTAAGTGTTAAAAACCTGGTTTATCTCTTCCTTTCCATGTGTATTGTTGGTTTACTCCCCACCTCCACTCCCAATGTTGCCCCAGCCAGTGATCCAGGAGTTAACCCCGCTGGAGAAGATGCTGCCTGCGGCGGCTAGGCAGACGGGGGAGATGTAACTGGTGAAAGTGACTGGTGCAGAGAGCCTCAGCAGGGCAATGTCGTTGTTGGAAGATTGAACATCATAGTTGGGATGAGAAATGATCTGTGCTGCCGTCCGAGAGACTTCGTTTGGGTTGGATCCCTGCTGACTCTGACGACCCAGATACACCGTCACTGTCCCACCATTAACCCTGTTAAATGAAAACATTTAATTAATTAACATTTAACTTTATATCATCAAAATTCAGGATTTACTTGAATTTGGCGAACGTTATATGTGTGCATTGTAAAACATTTAGTTGTGTCGATTATCTTCTACTCTTAAGTCACATAAATTTAGCGAGTTTTAGATTTTGAACCTAAATGTGTGAAAGATAAATTTATTGTAGTAAGTTGTGTTAACATTTTATTAATTTGGTCAAACCTCCAAGAGCTGAATAAATTAGTTTTTAGGTTAGCACTTAAAAAAACTGAAAGAAGAAAAGGACAGGAGTGGGAATAATTTCCCAGGGTGCTTAGCGGCATGTTTTCATATCGTGTGTTGCACCGCGAGTCAGATTGAAGAGTTACATCGATCTGACTTTCATGTGTTATTAAGGTAAATGTTTATTTCAAAGCTTGAGGATAATATTCTGTTCAGACTAAATGTTTCTGGGCAGAATTTTATTGTGCTGTTTAATAAAAGTCATTATTAGATCAGAAGTTTTATTCATGCAATTTGAAACAAGAATTATTCTAAAGTAAAATTAGTTACTGTAACTTGGTATTGTGAGTAAATATAATAGAGAAATGTGGCTCTTTAACGAGGTGTGGGAAGTTTTTTCTTGTGAAATAATTAGTTGGTTTATATTACAGCAGTTAAATTTCACAATTCATGATTAATGAACTTAAAAAACAAAACAATGCTTAGACATCTTGTCTCTTGTTGTTAAATCTACTTCATGAACCTCAATTTCTGAGTTAAAACCAAAACAGTTTTCTTGTTAAATTAACAAGAAGTCTTTCTTTCAAGTTAAACCACCTTCAAATGTTTACAGTGTAGATGGTAACTGTGCTGTTAGTGTTGTTGAAAGTGTACCTTTAGCACCCCCAACAGGTCATTTTGTGAATAGCCAGACCGGTGACAGTAAAGGAAGAAGGAAATGGATGGATGTTTACATGGTGCTGATGACTGACTGTAATCCACCTGCATCTGCCTCCGTCCTTCGTATTTCCTGGTATCGTCTATACTGTTCATTATTATCATGTATACTGTTTATTATCTACTTATGTTTCGTTCTTTCACTACATTTTTCTGTATCAAAAAAAGTACATGTTGTAATTGTATTTTTGTTGTATTTTATTTCAGTTTCACACTTTCTACCCAGGGGTGAAAGTAGTTTTAAATTCTTGGGGGTACCATGACAAAAATTTCTGTGCTGATTAATTTTTTTGCGAAGCGATAAAAGCCGGTAGCTCTTGAATTGCTACAGAATAAAGCTGTTTTCCCTCAGCCCACTGACACCTTGAGACACCATGAGACCTAAACTCTGAACATCATGGCATGGAGAGCATCC